GAGTGGGAAATAACTGCCCAGGTCTGATGAGGCTCCCTGGGCCCTGTGAAGAGTAGAAATGTGTAGCGTTATGTTGAATGGGATGTAAAATGCTCCAGAGGAAACCAGAGCAGCAGCTTCCGCATCACCTGGACACTTGTTGGAAATGCCAATTCCCAGGTCTGGAGGTGATGAGCACTGGTAGTACAGAGAGGAATGAATGAGGGGTCTCTACCCTTCCCCCTAAAAAGAGGTTCTTGACCCTGGCAGCACCTTATAATCCACAGGGAACTTAAAACAAAACAAAATGAACAACTGATGCCATGGCTTCTATACCGGAGATTCCAATTTAATTAATCTGGGGATAGGCCAAGGACATCAGTATTTTTAACTCTCCCGAAGTGTTTCTAATGAGCAAGATCAGTGTAACAGAAGAGATTTCTTAACTTTGGTGCTGTTGGCGCTTTGAACTGGAGAATCTTCTGTTGTAGCAAGCTGCTCTGTGCATTATAGGGTGTTTAGCAGCATCCTGGCCTTTACTCACAGAACCCCTGGCCCCATATGTAAAAACCAAAAATGTCTTCAGATATTGCAAAATGACCCTTAGGGGGCAAAATTGCCTATTTGAAAACGATTGCTCTACACCAATAATTCTCAAGGTTAGTGCAACATTGCCCAGTAGAAATATAATGTTAACCATTATAAGCATGTGAAATTAAAACATTTTTAGTAGCCACATTAAAATAAGCAAAATCAAACAGGTGAAACTAATCTTAATAACTTAATTCATATATCCAAGATAGTATTTCAACATGCATTTAATATAAAAAATATTAATAAGGGATTTTTATATATATTTTTCAAGTCCTTGAAATCTAGCATGTAATTTATCCTAACAATATATTTCAGTTCAAACTAGCCACATTTTGAGTGCTCAATAGATACATGTGGCTCGTGACTACTATTGGATGAATGGGGTTTAGCAGGCATCATAATCACCTTGACAGTTTGTTAAAATATAGATTGTTGGCATCCTTGCCACCCTGCCCCCCACCCCAGCTTTTGATTCAGTGGGTCTGGAGTGACGCTTAAGAATTTTCATTTCTAAGAAGTTTCCCAGTAACACTGTAGCTGCTGGTCTGGTGACCACACTTTGAGACCTGGAACCACAGATGCAGAGAAACCCTAGAGGCTTGTTATTAAAAAATGTGGTTTGTGGTGCAGCAGCAGCATCTGGGAGCCTGTAAAAGATGCATAATCCCAGCCTCTCCCCAAGATGTATGAAATCTGCATTTAGTACTGGAATCTATTTTTTTTTAACAGGATCCCCAAGTGATCACATTAAAGTTAGAACGTAAGACCACCTTGGGTAAAACTTTCCCTGTTAGTGTCTGTCATAGTATTTTCTTCTTAGAACTTTTCTCAGCTCTTCCCTGTTTTTCCCATGAGTCAAGAATGTGGAATCTTGGTTGCTTTTTAATTTTTCTGCTAACCATTCTCTATCAAGGGCCTAGTACAGTGTATTCACACAAAAGGCACATAATTATGGACTTAGTAATACTATAAAAGAAGAGAAGCCTGGGACAATGGTTAGATATCTTCTTTGGCTTTAAATATTTAAATAAAAATGTGTTTGGACATGAGTTGAACACGGGAGTTCAGGAGCTGGTTGTGCGGAGTTTGAATGGTCCTTTCCTTGAGCTTCACCTGTACCCAGGGGGTATGAGTGACTCACTTGGCAAGAATTGCCTGGTGTGCAGGTTGTTCGCAGCCTGCTTGTCAGATTCCTCTTCCTGGCAAGGTAGAGCCCCATTCTCTTCCCTTTTGAGGAGTGGAAATGCTCTAGTGTTTGTGAATCACCAGCACCCAGAATGTGCTCCTGGGACAGCCCTACTTCAGAACTGTGAGTGCTGTTTAAAGTGTTGGTGACCACACAGGTTTCTTCACACTTCTGCAGCCAGCTGGCATTCCAAAGTCATCATGCTCAAACTGACTAATAAGCAAACACTGTGACAGGGAGAAAATTTGGTTTCCAAAGGGAGTTACTGAAGTACAAATCCTGGCTAAAGTATATATTTTCACATGTAAAAATAGTCTCTGGGCTCTTGGATCAGTTTCATTTTTTCCTTATGCTTTTAATCATAGAAAATAGTCTCTCCATACTTCTTTTGGGAAAAATAGTAAGCTCTTTTTTCTCCTCTGTTGAGATTTAGTGCTAAGAGTGAATTTACCAAATGGTTCGTGAATTCTGTCTGTATATCTTAATGTGCGCCAACAACTTCTTTGTAGACTGATGGAAAGATGAAGTAATTCAGAGGTTCAAAAGAAAAAAAAGCAGAAATGGGCAACATTTCATCATCTTCTTTGCAATTGACTTCATTGACCTTTCTCTTACTTAGCTTCCTTCCCTTCATGGCAAGCTTTTGAAAAAAATGGGGACAATGTAAGAGTGAAATGACTATTCTATGTTTTATAGGAAGATTTTAATGAGAAATAATGACATTGACCAAATTAATGAGCTTGATTGCAGTAGAGCGATGGTTGCCTGGAGTGTATACAGGGAAGGACAAGAGGGACTCAGCTGGTTGAAGTGACATCCCTCTTTGTTAACTTCAGAACTGGGGGTGTGCTACAATGTTTTGTAATTGAAGGGTGTATCATTTTAAAGGCATATAATTTGCTATTTGTTCTCAGTTTCAAGCTATTTCCCTCTTAAATCTGAAAGAGGATCAACGTGGGGAGATTATGCCAGGTATATACTGAGTGAATTACTGTTTGCTCTATATAAAATTAGATCACAAAGTGAGAAATGCAGATGAGATTTGCTCCAATTGACTCAATGAATCTGGCAGGTTAGAAATAGGCTATTACACCAGAGGTCCTGATAGTTTAGTGGGAATTCCTTTGCTTATGAAGCATCCAATATTGCCTGATGCATTGCTAGTGTTCAGAAGAGAAGTGTTTCTGCTCCATTGCCTTTTGCTTTGGCAACCATTGTTCAGCCACTCACAGGGGAATCACCTTTGCTCTGGTTTCTTGGGTTAGTGTGAAAGCTCCCTGAGCAGCAGCCTACCTCTTCCTTCTCCTCATATTTAATCAGTGAACACTGATGAAGTAGCTTCATGCATAGGTACTGTACTAAAGCAAGGCTGGTGGTCATGTAGGTAAAATAGAAAATGAGAATAAAGGAAACCCTATACAGTAAGTCCTCGCTTAATGTTGTTGATAGATTCTTGGAAACTGTGACTTGAAGCAAAACAACATATAATGAAACCAGTGATATTTTTCTTATCAAGGCCGTTGAAGGAAGTGATATTATTAAAAGACCAGCTGTATGTCATTTCACTTTAAGTCACAGTTTCCAAGAACCTGTTGATAGCATTAAGTGGACTTACTGTATATCATAAAATGGAAAGTTTGGCACAGTAGTTACAGAGGGCAAGAGATGAGAAATATGATGCTAAATTAAAATAAGGTCTAAAATTTTAGATGCCATTTAGCAGAAAAAATTATGGTAAAGGAAATATTATTTGGGATTGTGCTGCTTCTATACATTAACTCATTCATCTCCATGGTAACCCTAAAGACACATTGCACAGACATTCTTCCCATTGAATGCATGAGGAATCTGAAAGCCAGAATTTTGATTCTGAATTTTCTATGAAAGCTTTTCTAGGATCTCTTCTAGCTGTGTGATTGTTATGTGTAGTTTTAAGCATTTACGAGCATGTTACCGACATTCCCAAGAAAACGATCTATGAAGAAAATTATTTTAATCAGCTCAGGCTGCTACAACAAAATACTCTGCTATTTGAAGGCTGGGAAGCCTAAGATCAAAGCACTGGTAGATCCGGTATCTGGTGAGTGCCCTCTTCCTAGTTTGCAGAGAGCTGCTTTTTCTTATATCTTAACATGGAAGAGAGAGATTATCTCTTGTTCGTTTCCACCGTGAATGAGATTAGAGACTAATCTCATTCATGGTGGAAGATGAATGAAATTAGGAGATGACTCTACCATCATGACCTAGTAACTTCCCAAAAGTCTGACCTTCCAATACCATCACATTGGCGATATAGGCTTTAATAGGAATTTTGGGAGGACACAAATATTCAGTCTATAGCAGATGTGATGTACAACATCTCTTCCTATCATTTAAAAAAGGAACAATAGATAGGCTTTTAAATTTGGGTCTTAACTATCTCTCATCTAAAATTACTAGTTCTCAAGTACTTTCCAAGTTAGCTGGTTTGAGAATTTGTACTCTGTATCTGTTGATGGCATTTTAACATTTTTGGGATCTGGCAACACAGTAACTTAATTAAAAACATATTTGTTTTATTAATAGTTACATTATTTTTCAATTTTTAAAATATAGTTGATAATGAATCCTCATGGTTTCTTGTTGAAGCAGATAAATTGGGGAAAAGATCATGTCTTTCTGAGTTGAATTTATCTTATAATCAGCCTGAAAGCAAAATGGACAATAAGGTGTTTAAGTGTTTGAAGGATGTGCTATCATTTGCTAAGAAAACATATAGGTTTTTGAAGACTTTGTAAAACAGTTTGATCTCTATATTGCATATTTTGTTGCACATATTTTTTTCTGCTCTGGTCACTAGTAGTGGGGGAAATGTTTATTGGGCTAAACCTAAGGAACTTCAATCACATTGGAAAAATGAGAAGAACAAATAGCAACAAATCCTCCATAAATACTAATTGGCTTGGACACATACGGTCTTCAGTCTACCTGTGACAGTGTCACCATGGGTCATCCTGCAGGCATCTGTTTATCCTGCTTTTGTCAACCTTCAAGTAAAGGCTGTATCTTCAATGTCCTACATTTCCCCATTTATGATCTTTCAGCACACATTTATCTTAAACCAACTGATGTTTTCAGCCTGTATAACCTTTAGGGATAATAAGATGTGGAAGTCTGTCACCCTGTAACCAAAGTAGTACTTTACAATAGAATTGATAGATTTGATTGCATCCTCTAAGTGATTCAGGCTGGATTTATCTAGGTACAGAGTCATGAGTCTGTTTCTCTGAAGAAGGTACAAGAGGATCCATCCAGCTGGTTGTGATTCTCAGGTAAGAAATTTACTTAGGTAATCCATGTGTGCTCTCCACCTGTGAGTCTATAGGTTGCAGTTATAATTAGGTACATAGATGACCTTGTAAGGTTGTTTTAGTCATAGACACTTTACATAAACATAAGTGTGACAGTGGATTTTTATTCATCATAAAGTAATGTTCTTCTCACGGCCACACCTTTAAGGAACATAATATAGCACAGCTTTAGAATGAAATGGTTACCAGGCGACATCTTTAAGTGACTCACTGTTTTTTGAAGATCTTGGAGATAAAAGTTGAAGTGATATAACTTTCAAGTAAGGGCAATTTCTTGATTATAAAATGATTAAGGAAATATTTTATTGTATTGGAAGTCTCAAATTTTATCTTCTCAAATATTTTTGTAGGTTGTATTATGCATACTGTTAACTTAGCCTCTAATGTTTTACAAAAACTCTTAGAAGAAGGGAGCTATGTGAGTGGGAAGGATTTGCCATGAGTCATTCGTAGTAATGGTAATGGTATAGTTGTGCTATCTGGTATAATTAAATTGATGATGGGAGGTAGAATTTTCTTGTGTGCCCCAAATTCCATTGCTTAATGCAGAATTTCTCAATTTCTCACTCTTTGATTGTGCCTGTTTTTGGTCAAAACCTGAGGAGTTGTAGGCAGAGTTAGTTCAATTAACAACATCATATCTGTAAAATGCAGGTGACACAATTTTAAGGATCATTTATGGGCACTTATTGCATATATTGGCCTTCCTCCAGAATACTAAACCAAATTTCTAATGATCGGACCCAAGAATACATATTTTTAAATGACATATTCATATAATCATGAATTCAGGAACTTTTAACTGGACAGTGTAGGAAAAGCATCTAGGTTCTTTTAATTATAGCTAGCATTTTTATCATATTTTAAGTTTTCAAAGCACGTCTCATCTCAATTTGTTTTGTAAAGTAGGCAGGGAGAGCCTTTTTACCTTCATTTTACAGATGTGATGTTGTTAACTGACCAAACTTAGCCAACAGCTCTTCAGGTTTTAGTAGAAAACAGGAGCGATCACATAGTGAGTGGGTGAGGATTAGCCACTCCCCATAACTGCAAGGCTAGGTGGTAATGACAGCATATTTCAGATAGTGGTCTGTCTATGGTACATATGGACATTTAGAGGAGCAGGCACTAAATGAGTCTGTGAGTCTGATGAAGTTCAAATGAACTATCATTTGGGGTTCTTTAACAACACAGAAGACATATTCACCTGAGGCATGCATGGCAACATTCAGAGGTTGGCTCTTGTGCTGTCCTAAACTATTGGCTTGACACTGATTGATTAGTAACCGAAGTCAGTGCTTTCCCTAAGGAACTCAGGGTACAGGTCTCAGCGGTTTCTTACAAAGACAGATGTGGAAAGTGTTTCTAAAATATGTAGTTATTCCAAATGTCTTGAATACTATTAATTTCAGAGAGGGAGCCCAGTTCTAACATTCTTCATGCTAATTATCAAGTCACTAGAATTTGTTACTTAAAGACTGGTCTATGAATCAGCACCATTGATATCACCTGGGAGCTTGTTAGAAATGCTGGTTCTCCAACCCAAATGCCCATCGATGATAGATTGGACAAGGAAATGTGGCACATATACACCATGGAATGTTATGCAGCCATAAAAATCAATGAGTTTGTGTCCTTTGTAGGGACATGGATGAATCTGGAAACCATCATTCTCAAAAAACTGACACAAGAACAGATAATCAAACACTGCATATTCTCACTCAAAGGCAAGTGTTGAACAATGAGAACACATGGACACAGGAAGGGGAGCATCACACACTGGGGTCTGTTGGTGGGGAGTAGGGGAGGGACAGCAGTGGGTAGGGAGGTTGAGGAGAGATAACATGGGGAGAAATGTCAGATATAGGTGATGGGGGGATAGAGACAGCAAACCGCATTGCCATGTATGTACCTATGCAACAATCCTGCATGTTCTGCACATGTACTCCAGAACCTAAAGTGCAATAAAATATACATATATATGTATATTTATATATGTAAATTTCTTCATATATATGTATATATTTATATATATATATATATATATGAAGAAATGCTGGTTCTCAGCTCTGCTCAAGACCTACAGAACCAGTATCTTCATTTTAACAAGATTTTCTGTGATTCAGAAGCATGATAAAGTTTGAGGAACACTCTTCTATAAGTTATATAACACTGTTATATAAGTTCTATAAGTGCTCCTTGTTTGTGCTTTCTAACATACCATAAAGCTGTGATCTGCCTCTATTAGAGCATTTACCATGTTGAATTACAGAATTCGTACATCTTGCCAGTTCTACTAGGTCAATTATTATGTCTTACTTACTTCTGCATTTCTATCATGTGGCATATATTAGATGCTCAATTCACGTTGAATGAATGAATAAGAAAACTTTCATATGCTAAAATTAGTTTTTTGGATCCAACTGAAGTTTTCTCAGACTTATAACTGGCTATGCATCCTCACATACTTGAAGTCAAAATGTGATTTTTGGGGTAGTGGCCAGCTTTCCAGGGCTACCAATGAAAAAAAAGTAGATACTGGACCTAGGAACCTGAAAGTAGTGGCATGATAGGAAATTCCTGAGGAGTGGCTGTAGTCCATAGGTGAGTGGATACTAGGAAAGGGTAGGGTCACTTTAGGGGACTGCTATGGTTTAAATATTTGTGTCCCTCCAAGATTTATGTTAGACCTTAAATCTCAAGGTAATGGGATTAAGAGGAAGGATCTTTGGAATGTGATTAGGCCATGAGGGCTCTACCTTCATAAATGAGATTAATGTCTTAATGTCCTTATAAAAGAGGCTTCAAAGAGCTGTCTCGTCCTTCTATCTCATCTGCCAGGTGAGAACACAGCATTTGTTCCTTTGGTTTTCTCTACCATTTGAGAACACTGTGAGAAAATGCCATTTATAGAAAAGGCCCTCATCAGACATGAAATCTGCTGGTGGTGTGATCTTGGAGTTTCCAGCCTCCAGAACTGTGAGAAATAAAATTTTTACTGTTTATAAATTAGACTGTGGTATTTATTGTAGCAGCAAGAGAGGACTAAAACAAAAATCACATATGCCAGTGATTCTGAATATGTTTTCTGATTAGGCAGATTTCCAGCAGTAAGAATAGCTAACTATAACAGGGGTTTTCACTGGAAGATCTCTTTCAACCATATATAATTCTGCTAAAACTCATACCCCATCTTTCTTGCTAGACTCACTGAGATAAGTTGTAGGCTCAATGTCTCATGTTTTGAATGGAGCAGGGGGGCACTGAGAGGTAACAGTTACCAAGAGCAAACACTGTGTTTGGAATCAAGTATTTCTTATGGGTGGATGGATTCAGGTGTCTCGCCTGGCAGATTAGGCCTAGGCATCTAGGAATTCAAAATCAGGAAAGAACAGGTTATAAGAGGTCTCATGAGATGAGGGTCAGCCCAAACCCAGGGGCCCTAGGCATGTAACACCTACACTGTACCCATTTACATCTCTCTCTGCTAAATCTCCTTTGAGGTGAACATTGTTAACTAAGATCCTAATAATGACTGTAGGTGAAGAGAGGATTTGAGGTCACTATGAAATTGTGAAGCAGTATTAGAACCTACCCAGAGTCTAGTGGTTAGAGAGAAAATAATGTTCATCCTGTAATTAACAAGAAAATATTTCTCCTCCTTTACTTTTGTTGGTCCTTAGGGGTAGTTATCACAAACCTGGACTAGCGGTGCAGCTGGGGGATAAAATTTAGAGAGTGGGGAAGGGGTTATGAAACTGATTGAGGCTTTTGGCCTAAGGCTGGATATTTAAAATAGCATTTCTAGCGAAGGCAGACAGGCACTGTTCAAAACTGAGTGAAGAAGGCAGTGGTAGAATGAGGAGCAGATGTGTTGTGTGAAGGGTCAGCTCCTACTGATAGTGCCTAGTGGGAATCTGTGCTTGTTTCTCAAACATATCAAATAAAAATCTATATTTTAAAATAAAACATCTCTACTTTTAAATCTTGGCAAATAATTTCAAAGGTCTATGAAAGGTATTGATGCTGTGAAGGCTAGAGTCAGTTTGATGGTTGTCAGTTGGTGATGTCTGGCCTTAGGAAACTTTTTTAAATTATTATTATACTTTAAGTTCTGGGGTACACGTGCAGATCATGCAGGACTGTTACATGTGTATACACATGCCATGGTAGTTTGCTGCATCCATCCCCCTGTCATCTACATTAGATATTTCTCTTAATGTTATCCCTCCCCAAGCCCCCAACCCCCTGCTATCCCTCCACTAGCTCCCCTACCCCCCAACAGGCCCTGGGGTATGATGTTCCCCTCCCTGTGCCCATGTGTTCTCATTGTTCAACACCCACTTATAAGTGAGAACATGTAGTGTTAGGTTTTCTGTTCTTATGTCAGTTTGCTGAGAAACTTTTTGGCGGTAGGAACTTTAGGACTTCTGTCTTGTAAGTGCTTTGGGGTCTCTTTGTGTTTTTTAGAGAACCACAAAGTGTTGAATAGAAACCAAAGAAAAGGAAATGAGAAGTTGACTAGTTAGTGCTTGTTGTAGTTCAAATGAAGTCAGTCATCTCATTCTGACCATCTTCTATTAGGTTGGTACAAATGTAATTGTGGTTTTTGCTACTAAAAGTAATAGCAAAAACTGCATTTACTTTTGCACCAACATAATAACTCACCAAAATAAAAAGCAACCCAACATAAGTGAAACCAAATGAAAACCAAAATCAACAGCAAAAACCTCAGCTTCTTTCTCAGTGCCTCCATAGACGGCATCAATTATCTCCTTTGTTATCCTAGTGGGAAATCTGGTAGTCTTTTTTTTTTTTTGACTTCTTTTTTCCTCCCTCAGGCTTCTCATCCCATCATTATTCAGGTCCAACAGATTTCACTCCCAAAACATCCACAATTCATCCTCTTCCTTCTCCCTCCCTATTGCCATTGTCCTATATCTGGTTCTGTCGTACCTTGC